AGGGAAGAACTTGCTCTGCGTTTCTCAAGGTAAGAGAACTGAAAAACAAATTTAAGTTGTGAGTTGCAATATTGAAAGATGCTATGGGCAATATATCGAATGATCCAGGAAGCATCAAAAAAAGATGGAGGGACTACACAGAGCCATTGTACCAAAATGAAGTAACACTGAAAAATTTCAGTACCATATGAGCAGAAGCCTATGATAATGAAGTGGAAGCTGTATTGAAGGTATTCACAAAATATAAGGCCCAGGAATCAGAGTGGGATACTAATTAACTTGTTTCAGTTAACAGATGCAGCCCCGGACTATCATCACCAATCTATGCTAGGAAATTTGGAGGGCAGCTGTCTGGCTGAAGAGGTCCATATTTGATCCCATTCACAAGAAAAGTGATCCAGTAGAATGTGGAAACAACTGAACAAGGTCATTAATATCACATACAAGCAAAATACTACTGAAGATCGTTAAAACGTGGCTACAACATCACATAGATAAGGAACTGCCAGAAGTTTAAGCAGGATTTAGAAGAAGCTGTTAAAATTAAGAAGGAAGTGTGTCAGGATTGTGTTCTTTCTCCATTCTTGTTCAGTTGTGTGTTTGGTTTTTTTAACTTGTTCAGTATTTATACTGAGCAGATAGATATTCAAGAAGCTGGAGCCTGTGAAGAAGAATGTGGCATCAAGATTTGAGGAAGACCCCTAAAGAAACCATAACTGCCACCCAAGCTGATATATGCACACCCATGTTTATTGCGGCTTTGTTAACAATAGCAAAGAGCTGGAAACAACATAAGTGCCCATCAACAAACGAATGGATAGAGAAGCTCTGGTATATTCACACAATGGAATACTATGCTGCATTGAAAAATAAGAAACTCATGAAGTATTACACAAAATGGATGACTCTGGAGGACATTATGCTGAGTGAAATATCTCAGTCACAAAAGGACAAATATTGCATAAGGCCACTGTTGTAAAATGGGACCTCAACCTCAGGGTTGAGGGAAGGCAGAAAAGGAGGGGAGGAATGATATATATTGCATTGAAACAGATGAGGGAGAGATCTGTTTAAAAGGGATATATGAATGGGTATTCTAGAATGTCATTACAGAAGTCCAGAGTGAAGGCTACATAGTGGAGTGAACTTGAGGGGAGGGGTTGCTTAACAATGAAAGAGTTTTTCTTTTCAAGGAGAAGAGTGATTTTGAGGGAAGGGCGTAAGCAGGGAGAAAAGTGCAACAATGAGTGACTGGAAAAACCAAGTCTCTGTAAACTTTCATTAAAATTAATAAATAATTTTAAAAAAAAGATTGGAGGAAGACTTATCAATAACCTGTGTTATACAGACGACACAACCCCGTTTGCTGAAAACGAGAGAACATGAAGTACTTTTTGGCAAAAGATCAAAGAATACAGTCATTAATATAGATTGCATCTCAACATTAACAAAAATTCTTACCACAGGACAATAGGCAATATCATGATAGATGGAGAGAAGATTGAAACTGTCAACAACTTGGATCCACAATTAACACCTTTAGTACCAGCAGTCAGGAAATCAGGGGATGTACTGCACTGGGGACAGTCTTCAGTTAGAGACCTCTCCAGATTATTGAGGAGTAATGATGTCAGTTCAAGACTAAGGTGTGTCTGATTTAGGCCATGGTCTTTCCGATCACTTGCTATGTATCTGGGAGCTGGACAGTGAATAAAGATGACAGAAGAAGAGTTGATGTCTTTGAGCTGTGGTTTTGGAGAAGCGTGAGTACTGAATATCCATTTGACTACCAAGAGAACAAATATGTCTTGGAGAAAGTGTAGCCAGGGTGCCCTTTGGAGGCCAGAATGATGAGGCTTTGCCTCACATACTTCGGGCTTGTTGTTAGGAGGAGCTGTTTTGGGGTATGTTGTTAGGAGTAGCTATTCCTTGGGAGAGACATGATGCTTGGAAAGGCAGAGAATCAGCAAAGGAGAGCAAGACCCTCAACCAGGTGGATTGATACAGTGACTGCTGCAATGGGCTCTAGTGTGCCAGATAGTGTGAGGATGACACAGAATAGGACAGAGTTCAGATTCATAGGGTTGCTATGGATCCTTCTTGATAGTACCTAACAACAACCTCCTATACTGTGAGAAAATCTGTTTCATAAAGCCATCTTTTTATGATGTTTCTGTTCTGGCAGTGGTTGCTAACTTAATAGTTCAGTTACTTCATATGAAAAATGAGAATAAAATATACTTTTAATATTGTGGAAAGGATTAAGTATATAACTTGATATAAATTAGTTGGCCTATAATAGCCCTCCTCCACACACACCCTCCTTTTCTTCAAGTCCTAAAATTTCACTTCCCTCTTCAAATTCTCCTAATATGTTGTGGTAGTTGGTCTCAGGATGAGAGAGCTCTGGTGGCCTAGTCCATGCTAACTCGAAGGGCATGCCTCTCTGGTGGTTCAAATCCATCAGTGGCTCTAAAGGAGAAAGATGAGCCTCCCAGGTAGTTTCCAGCTTCAGAAACCCAGTGGAGGGTCAGATATGAATCAGTTCTGATTCAACAGCGGAGAGCTGAGTTGGGAAGTCTCAGCATTACACATATAATCTCTTCTCCCTGGTTTTCACTCTCATGTGTCTTGCCTTCTATCTCATCTTCTCCTATAGTTGCTCTGGTCTGTGTAACAAATAGGATATGGCAGAAATGATAAGTCCGTCTTATACTAAGCCATAAAAAAGACCTTGTGGCTTCTGCTTTGCACTTTCTATTGGATTACTGGCTGTTGGGGAAGCTGTATGCCATATCGTGGAGAAGAACACATAGTGAGGAAATGAGGCCTCTAGCAAGTAGCTAAGAGGATTCCTGCCTATAATTAAGTGTATCCTCCACCCCAGTCAAGTTTAGATGTCCATCCTCAAGATAGACCCCAATTTGGAACCATCCAGTAAGTCTCTTGTGTGTGAGAGGGGCAGGGTGGGGTTCATATTTAGAATTAGCCAGCTGGACTCAGTTTAGATGATTCCAATTCTGTTGGCAACATCCAAAGCATCATAGTCAGGAGCAAATAGAACATAGGCCTTCTCTCAATCAAGCCTAATCAAGGTGTTGACCTTGATCATATCAATGTTATAGAGCTTCTTTACAGCTTGTTTGATCTGGTGCTTGTTGGCCTTGACATACACAAATGTGTTATCTTCTATCTTCTTCATGGCTGACTCAGTGGTCAGGGGAAACTTGATGATAGCAGTGATCAAGCTTGTCTCTCCTGGGGGTGCTCTTCCAGGGGTATATGGGTTGCCTTTGAAATCTCAGGGTCTTAGGCCACAGGAAGGTGTGTAACATGCGTATCTTCTTTTTTTGTTGTTGGTGGTGGTAGTGCTGTGGATGCCCTTCAGGACTACTTTCTTGCCTTTTAATGCCTTTGTTTTGGCTTCAGTTTTGGGAAAGACAGGGGTTTCCTACTTTGCTTTCATTTCTTTCTTCATAAAAAGGCCAAATAAGTTTCTTAACCCACAAAAATTGTAAGATAATGTTTGTTGTTTCAAATCACACTTGCTATACATCTGAAAATTGAACAAGGAATAATAATGATAGAAGAAAAATCAATGCTTTTGAGTTGTGGTGCTGGTGAAGAATACTGAATATCCCACTGACTCAAAAGAACAAATATGTTTTGAAGAAAGTGCAACCAGTGTACTTCTTAGAGGCAAGGATGGTGGGACTTTGTCTCACATACTTTGGGCATGTTGTTAGGAAGGGCCAATCCTTGAAAAAAGATACCATGCTTTGGAGGTTGGTTGTTCTTGTTAGGTGCCATTGAGTCAACTAAAACTCATGGGGACCCTATGAAAAATTATTTTAATCTTGTCCTATCCTGTGCCATCTTCATCATATCTGATATGCTTGAGCCCATTGTTGCAGTCATTGTCTCAATCTATTTCATTGAGGGTCATTCTTTCACTGACCATCCACTGAAATGTAAAAACAGCTAGAGTTTATAAAATATACCCTGAGAAAATGAGAACTGAGGCACAAATGGAGACTTGAACACCAGTGTTTATAGCAGTGTTATTCACCATTGCAAGAAAATGGAAACAGCCCAAATGTCCAACCACAATGGAATGGATTGAGAAATTATGGTACATTCGCATGATGGAATACTACACAGCAAACAAGAGCAAGGATTTTGAAAATTACTACCTAACTTGGGAAGGACTGGAGAGCCTTATGCTAAGTGAACTAACTCAGTCCAATAAGGACAAATATTTTATAAGACTATTACTGTAGAAATAGGTGACCAGTAAAACATGTATGAGGATCCAAGGAGGAGGGGAGAAGCAGAGGGGTGAAGAAGAGTGAGGAGGTGGTTAATCATAAGGTTGCACAATTTAATGGGTGGGAGGGTGGGTAAAGGAAATGTGAAAGATCTTGTGTGAAAGCAATGTATACGAACTTTGTCAATACACAGTATAAAATAAAAATTTTATGAAAAAAACAAACAAAAACCCCATGTTAGTACAATTTGAGTGAAGACAATTGTGAACAACTCTTCTACCTCTCTAATATCAGGGAGCTTCATGGTACTGCTGGTTCTATGAAGAAAATGTATATTTAGTCCTTCATTTTGAAGCATCTGATATTTAAGCTGAGACAATGGAAGAGGAGTTAGCCAGGTCAAGGGAGAAAGAGCATTCCAGGAGAGGAAATAGCATGTATGAAAACTCTTAGGCTCAGCTCTCTCGGTCTATCCAGAGCCACAAAGTTGGTGGGAACGAATGCTTAGTGGGGAAGGTGATAGGAAACTAGGCCAGGGAGGTAGGTGAAGTGATCTATAGGTACTACTGCTAATAGGACTGTGAGCTAACAGAAAGTCAGTGCTTGTTAAGTGCATTAAGTGAACTATTCGTTCTTGAATATTCTTCAAATATGCAGTAATCTTTTTTGTTTTGTTTTGTTTTTTTCTTTTAATAGGAAAAAACCACATAGGGACTTTATTATTCCCAGTACGGGGCAGATGTTCAGGGGCGGCAGGAGGCAGCTGTGGAGCAGGGCTGTAGAGGTGGGGGCAGCCATACTTAACGGTGATAGGGCGGTTCCTTAGGACCACGATGACCGAGTCCCCACGCAGGAACATCTTAGAGATGTAGTGGTCCTTGTTGACGGGCTTGGACTTCTTGCCTTTGCCACTCTTGGGGACCTCGGTCCACATCTCTTTCACGTTCTCCAGCACCATGTTGCAGTGCCTGTCGAAGGCCTTCACGCGGCCCAGGAGCTTCTTGTTGAGACAGTGGATGAGCACTTGGGTGTTGTTCTTGACCGACTGTGTGAGCACAGGGAGCAGGCTCATGTTAAACGCCTTTTCTCACTTGTGCAACTCCTCCCGGGCTTGTTGAGGAGGCTCATGGTGCCGGCTGCAGTCTCGGATCACTCCCGTTCGTAAGTACTATTCTTATTGGAGTCTTAGGGTGACCTTTTGAGGTGTCATTATCCCCCTTTCATCGATTTGGAAACCTTGGCACAAGGAGGTTATATAGCTTTGCCAAAGAAACTCAGATAATGAAGGGTGGAGCTCGGAGTCTAACTCAACCTGTGCTCTTCAGCAGCAGGATTAAATTTTGAAAAGCTCACTCTGCAGGTGGGGAATGAATTAGAGCAGATGGGTGGGAATGGGGAGGCCAGGTAGGAGGCTATCACAGACATCCTAGACATTATTAGACTTTGCTTGATAACAAATCCTGAAATTCTGTTCAGATGGATTTAGGGGAGTTGGGAGTGAGGGGTGGGAATTTTTTTTGGCTTATATAATCAGACTGGGGAATTGGCTAGAATGTGACTGACCACAAGGAAACCTGGAACTAAACCTGTTCTTAGTAGGAGGAAGTGGAATGGTTCTATGATGCCTCTTCATTTTTTTCAGACCTAGATTCCTTCACCTGACAGAAAATGGCCACCAATGGTACCTGCTCACCTATTTCATAGTTGGTACCAGAAAGAAGACCTGAATATATTCCCTTAGATTCAGAATTTAAAACCTTAGCATATCTACAACCAGGAGAAGATAAAATAGATGAATGGGACCTTCTAAGAATCAAATCCCTATGCACATCCAAAACCTTCTCCAACAGGGTAAAAAGGGAAGCCACAGACTGGGAAAAAGTGTTTGGTAATGACATGTCAAATAAGGGACTTATATCTAGAATTTATAAAATACTTGAGCACCACAACAAGATAAAGGTAAATAATCCAATAGAAAAATGGGCACAGGATATGAATAGACACTTCACCAAAGAAGACGTTCAGATGGCCAACAAGCACATGAAGAAATGTTCAAAATCCCTAGCTCTAAGAGAGATGCAAGTCAAAACAACTATGAGATATCATCTCACCCCAGTCAGAACAGCAAAATTTAACAGAACAGCAAGCAACAAATGCTGGCGAGGTTGTGGAGAAACTGGAACCCTTATTCACTGTTGGTGGGAATGTAAAATGGTGCAACCACTGTGGAAGGTGGTATGGTGCTTTCTCAAAAAGTTGCAAATAGAGATACCATTTGACCCAGCAATTCCACCTTTGGGAATATATCCCAAAGAGACCATAACTGACATCCAAGCAGATATATATACACACCCATGTTTATTGCAGCTCTGTTCACAATAGCAAGGAGTTGGAAATAACCCAGGTGCCCATCAACAAACAAATGGGTAGAGAAGCTGTGGTATATTCACACAATGGAACTCATTCAATATTATTCAAAATGGGTGAGCCTGGAGGACATTATGCTGAGTGAAATATCTCAGTCGCAAAAGGACAAATATTGCATGGTGCCACTGCTGTAAAATGGGACTGATATCAGGGTGGGGGTAAGACCGAGAAAAACTGGATAAATTGTGTATACTGCACTGAAACAGATGAGGGAATGAATAATGTAAAAGCGATGTATGATAGGGTCTTATGGTTATCACAAGAGTCCGCAATTAAGGTTGCATAGTGGAATGTACTTGGGGCGGTGGGAGGGGTGTGGGGGGGGGTTGTGTACCAGGGAGGGAGTCTTTCTTTTACTTTTGAAAGAGAGGAGTGAATTGTGGGGCGGGGGTAGAGGGCTGGGTGGGTAGAGAAGTGCAGCAATGAATGAATGGAAATCCACATTCTCTGTAAATGTTCATTAAAATTATTTAAAAAAATAAAATTTTTAAAAAACCTTAGCATAGGGCTCTTATTGGTTATGTGCCAAACTTTTTTGGTGGATTGGTGGGTATGGGATTAGAATTAACTAGAACAATCCCCACAAGAATTACATGGTTATTATGAAGAGCACAATTCTCAAGGAAGGAGTGTTAGCTAAAAAAAAAAAAAAAGATTCTGTACAAATAAGTTGAAATATGTCCATTACATTTCATTAAGGAAGAGAATACCAATGTGGGTGAAAGGAGCTGGTGTCAACAGACATGACAGAATTGGACAGTTTCTAAATAATGTTTTGGAGAGTCAAGGAGAGATAGGATGCAAGATCATGGATACTCCTCAGTTCATTGTTAGCTAAATCTAGCAAATCCAATCAGCTCACACACAGTTGTGAATGAAATAATAAAACACCCAAACAGTCCACACTTGACCCTCAACCAACACAAAAATCCCGCCTTCCAGAATCCAACTGCTTTACACATTAGCCTCCAAACTGGAGACTTAGAGCTCAGCTGATTTTTAAATACCAAGGCCTTCTACCAGGTTTAGAGCTGTGGGCAGGAAGCCACTTGTTTAGAGTCAACAGGACCTGGTGAAGGGCCTTGGATTTAAGTCAGTTGGGACTGTGGCTTTCCCTTGGGCCTGGTGTTAGTTGCATGTGGGACTAACAGTCTTCTAAGTGGCACAGCACTGGTGTCAATTTGCTGTATTGAGGTACTTGGGGTTGCTGTGATGCTGAGCACTGTGCCACTGGTGTGTCAAATGCCATAATAGATACCCATGGTGGACAGTATTTGGTGGAGTTACCAGATTAAGACAAGCTTGGAAGCAAGAGTGGTATCCACTTCTTAAACATCATGCCTCTGGAAACTCTATGAACTTAGAGAAATGATAGTTATAGAACAGGGTTCAGGTCTTTTGTTCATAGGGTCGCTATGAGTCGTGTTTGGCTTGATGGCACTTAACAACAACAATAACTTATACTCCTCAGTTTATTCATTTATTCATAATAAGTGTACAACCAACTGTGTTAGACACTAGCCTAGGCACGGAATATAAGTGGTGAAAAACAAAGTCTCTGACCTCATGAAATTTTAACACTTTAGTGGAAGACACTGACAGCACATGCATAAATAAGTGCACAAACCAATTAATATATAATCAAAACATGTGCTAAATGTTAAAGAGGGAAGAATAAAAAATAATGGAGAGACTTACTTTTGTAGTGACATTTAGCATTTCAGCTCAGGACTGGAAAAACAAAAGAAAATAGAGGTCCACTTACAATGGGTTGAATCCCTAAAATTCCCAACATTATTCTTTTATCATGAAAGAACAATGAATGCTGTTAGGTGGCCTCCAGAGTTAGCTCCAATTCATAATGACACCATGTACAACAGAACAGAACCCTGCTAACCCTGCACCATCTTCACAACATCTGCCGTGTTTCAGCTCATTGCAATCTTTATGTCAGTCCATCTTGCTCACGGTCTTCCTCTCTGTAGATGACCCTCTCTACTTTTCTAAACTGGATGCCCTTCTCCAGGGGTTTTTCTCCTCTTGATAACATGCCTAAAGTATGTGAAATGAATTCTCACTATCCTTTAATCTAAGGAGTACCCTGATGTGCTATTGCTTATTATGTGATATTCACATGGTCCTACTTAATGGTTCAGTAGTAAGCAGGTAACCTTTTAGACCTGATCAGGGGAGGATTTTTGTTCCATTGCTGTGGAAAAGCAGTTCTCTCTTCCACTGACTTCAATAGAAAAGCATACAGCCCTTTTTGCTCCTGGCAACTCTAGTGTATGAAATTGAAGAGAGCCACCCTTGGCCTGAAACAAAGGTGTAGCAAAAGGAATCTGTTCCTTAATAATTCTTTTAGGCTACATCAGCTTTTTTTAAAAAAAAAAAAAAAGCCACTGAGCAGCCTGCCATGGACACAGCCTTATTGATTTCATTGTTTGTTCGTTTGTGAAAACTACATTTCCTCAAACACTCAGGTACTCTTGCAACTTAGCAAGCTTGCACTAGCTGTTCACTCTGTCTAAAAAGCACTTCTTTAAGTAGTGCAATCCATTCACCTCTTTTCATGGTGTTGCTTAAATATTTTCTACTAAAGGTCTTTTGCTACCACCTTACTTAACATACAGTCAACGTTCACCCACCACTCCCTGTAAAAAGAGCTAGGGCAGAGTGGAGACAACCAAATCTGACCTCCACTAACTCTGCAAGAGGAAACTTCCCTCATCAACAGCATCCACTGCAAAAACCCAATTCCCATGAAGTCAGACATAACCCACTCGCTCCCTCTCCTATTTTCTATTAATTTCAACACCAGCCAATTGCTCTACTGGGTCCAAAATCCATTTCTCTTGCTACACGGACTTCAAAGAATCATACAATTATAGGGTTTACTAGGGAAGTTAAGAAGTCAGGACAGCTTCTGAAGTGTGCTCATAAGTCCTTCAGTCATCAACCTTGCAGCTTTAGGTTAGTGTTACAAAGCTCTCTTAGTTCAGCCAATTAAGGGACTCTTCTCCCCATACTCCCAGTTCTCCAGAAAGTATGGGCAAAGGCCCCTGGTTCTTGTTCTGTGGGGTAGCAGTTCTGGGTCAGTTCCATCTAACTTCAGGTCTCTGGTTCTCTACTGCCCTGGTAGGCCTTGATCTAAGTGGCACAGGAATCTTTGGTCCCAGAATTCTCTGCTTCTTTCTTGCCAGTATCTCAGTTCCCAGACTACTGTCACTGAACCTGTTCAATTTAAACCTAAAGGAATGGCAGGATTAGCCAGTCCCCTGCTGGATAGACTAACCTTTCTATTTTTATATGCTCTCCCAATCATTTAGCTAGTTCAAGAGTAATGGCCTAGGAAAGTAATTTTGAGCTGTAGACCCACTGTGTTGTATTCTCCAACTCCCAAAACCTCTTCCTCTCTTTTTTTCCTTTTTTCTAGAGCACTTATCATCTTCTAACATACACTTTAATATTTCCTACATTATTTATAGTCAGTTCTCCTACATCTAAAATGTAAACTACTCCAAAGCGACAATCTGTTCATTGATGTATCCCAAGAATCTAGTACAGTGCTTGGCACAGAGTAAGTGTTCAATATTTGTTGAATGAATGAAAAATGTTGGTGAAATACTAATTTTTAAAAGTTATTATACAGAGTAAATGATATAAAAGCAAAGCTCCTGACACACAGTCAACACACAACAAATATTAGGTTCCTTTCTATCTGTCTTTCCTAGTCTGCTTGTCCTTACAGCTGGCTCCCCCCACCTCTCCTAACATTTTCCTATTAGAGTGTCCCCTTTGAATTAAAATCTAGAAAAATTCGACAGAAGATCATAGGTGTCATCTGAGACATGAAGGCGGACTGGCAGACCAGTCCTATTACCACACCTGTTTATCACATTAACAGATTGTCACCCAGAGACTCAGGGAACCCTGAGAAGACAGGTAAATTATTTTGTTATTGGAATTGGAATTATTTTAAAGCTCCCTCCCCAACTTGAATATAGGAAAATGTCGAACAAAACTCCTGAGTAAACTGCTGTGAGAAGGGAAAAAAAAAAAAAAAGGAAAATGTCACAAATATGTGGAAAATTTAGCAAATTTGCATGTCAGCCTTGTCCAGGGGTCTTGCAATCTTCTCTACAACAGTGCTGTTTGAGTATGAAGTGAATACTACTGCACTAATTTTAACAATTCACTTTGTTTAGGTATAATTTGCATGCAATACACATATTAAGTGTACTACAGTGTGATAAATTCTGGCAAATGTGTAGGTAACTTGATTTAAGAACGGAGAGGATTAAGGCCATCTGGGATTGTCCAGTTTCAGGGATTTCGCAGAGGGATCCTGGTTAAGAAGTTAAGAATATCAAGCCTCTGGGGAAACATTCCAATAATGGAGGCACCTAGGGCCAGCCTGAGACTGTTCTCGGGGTTTCACTGTTCTGCATCTCCGAAATGCCTGGCAACTTCGTGGTACCTTCTGAGGGAATGAACCAGCTCGGTGTCTCACTAATTCATTTCTGTCTCGCCCAGGAGATGAGAGCTAAGAATGAGTGGCCTCTTCTCTTTGTCCTAGAACTCTCCTGCCATCTTCTTCGCCCCAGTCCTTATCCACCAGCCGGGGGCGCTCCAGCACATAACACCCAAGTGGCACTGCATCCTCCACACCCAGAGTCGTTCAGAAGCCCCTGGCGGGCGGGAAAGAAAGTTGGAAGCTCGGCTCTTTTTCCTGGTTGTTAGGGCCAGAAATCCCTTAGAGCGCCCAGGCCCCGCTTAAGGTTCCACCATTGTCTAATTTCTTAAGGGCTTATGGGTCACAGAGGTGCGATCGACTGAGTGCACCCAGCAACCGACCCATCCCTCCCCGCCCCTCTGCGGCTGAAATCCTCAAGTGGTAGCTAGTTCATCTTAACGATGGCAACCAAGTCGAGTTCCAATTGGCTGGGGATACACAGAGGCAGAACAGGTGAAGGGTCTGAAGCTGGCCACAGACTTTGTCCCAGACTAGGATAGCCCCACTGGGAAGTCCAAAGCAGTCCCCTCTAAATCGTTAAGAGAGGGCAGGGGTTGAGGGGGTGGCCCCCGGGAATGCGGGGCACCGCCCACGCGCCTGAGAACCTCTGGGGAGGTCCTGGCAGGGGCGGGGCCAGGCGGGGCGGGCCGGACCTGGGCTGCAGGAGTGCCGGGTAAACCCTACAAAGCAGAGGTGGTGGCCGTGGCTCTCGGGTTTGTTCTGGTTCGCCTTGCACTCAATTTTGCCATGGCGGGACCCCAGGAACCTCTGAGTGGGAAGCTCCCACTCTGCTTTTCCCCGGCTCCGCGGACCAGCCTCCTGTTGCTCAGGCTCAACGACGCGGCACTTCGGGCACTGCAAGAGTGTCAGCGGCAACAGGTGCGGCCCACCCCAGCTCCTTCTCCCGAGCCCTTTTTCCGAGGTACCTCGGACGCCTGCCGGCGGCCCTAACGAAGAAACCTGGGGAGGGGAGTTAGCCTCCACTAAGCAAAGCCTGAGAGGCAAGTGCTCCAGCATCCCCAACGTCTAATCCTGGGGACCACGCTTCACTTGAGCTCAACTCGTGTCCGGGCTCTCCCCGCAGGTTCGGCCGGTGATCGCCTTCCAGGGTAGTCGTGGGGTAAGTGCGGATCCCAGGGATGTCGGGGAGCTGCAGATGGAGGCTTGCGGTGGACTCAGTAGACACCTTCCCAGGGTGATGCCCGCAATGATTCTACTGAAGTCAGGGCCAGAGCTATTATCAACAGTCATGGTTTGGGGAAGTTCTGAGAACTGAGCCCCCAGTGGAGGGGGCTTCTGGGGTTATGGTCCCAGAGGGCTTTGGTTGAGAAGCCTGTCTTGGCCTCCTGGGGAACTCAAGCACAGCTGCACCTGGTGTGCTAATGAGTCCCTGGGGGACCCATCTTTTCTGGACTAGTTATGAGAAAAGTGACAGTGGCAGGAGGGGGAGGGACTGGCTTCATGTGGCTTATGGTCTCCTTCCACCCCCAGTACCTGAGGCTCCCAGGTCCTGGCTGGTCCTGCCTCTTCTCCTTCGTAGTGTCTCAGTGTGGACAGGGAGGTCCTGGTGGTGGCTTGGATCTTGTATGCCAAAGATTGAGCAGGTGAGTGCGAACAGGTAGCAAAAAATGGGGTTTTGTTTGGGGTGAGTAGGGGCCAGAGAAGGGTTTGAAAATTCTCCATCCTCCCATTTCTGGTTTCGCTCTCATCCCCTAAAATCCTTGTCCAGATCTAGACCTAACCGCCTCTACTGCCTGGGCCCACTCAGAGAACGCCTCACAATTTGGGCAGCCATGGATTCTATCCCAGCCCCATCCTTAGTTCAGGAACATATCCTGACCGAAGCAGCAAGAGACCCAGAGAGTTGGCAGGATACTGAAGAAGATTCTGAAGGAGACACAATGTCACAGCCACAGATGGCACTGGAAGAGGTAAGGCTAGGAACTACAGGGACTTGGGGATAAGGTGGGGCAACGCCTGATTCCCAGGAAGCCAAGTGCTCCTACCACTTTCCCCGCCAGGTGCCAGATGCACTGGCAAGTAACCAAAGACAGTCACTCCCAGGATCCTCAAGGGAACACATGGCACAGTGGGAAGTGAGGTACTTGGGGCAGGGTTGGGTAACCCAAGAAGCCCCAGTATTTTCTTCCTTTCTAATCTCCACCCTAAAATGCTGTAATGAGATATTTAGCCCCACCTCCTACTCAGATCTTTTCTCATTCCCTCTTTGCAAACCCAAGGAACCAGACTCATCTTTCAGAGAGAGAGCATGATCAGAGACTGCTTTCCTCTGCCAGCCAGAAACATCTAGACAAGGTGAGCTGTAATAAGGACTTTTCAGGGGAGCTCTGGTGGCCTAGTGGCAAGGAGCTGCAACTACAATCCCAGAGGCGCACGGTTCGAATCCACCAGATGCTCTGCCGGGGAAGGAGGGACAATCTCCTCCAGTACCAGTCAGATCTGATTTGACGGTACACGCACACAAAAATAACAAAATAAAAAAAAATTTTAAAAAAACCCAATGACTTAAAAAAAAAAAAAAATAAGGACTTTTCACTGAAAACTTTGCCCAGTCAAGTTGCAATTAAAAAATTAGGAGCCCTCATTTTGAAGTTCACAAAGCACATTTTTTTTTAAGTGGGAGAAGGGCAAAATAGGATACTAGCTTACTGTGTGACACAATTCTTTTTCCCAGCAAAAAAGACCAGCATCTGCAGCTACTACAGAACAAGAAGAAAAGAGGCTCAGAGCTCTGCCCTTAGTTGCTAGTCCTCTTCAAGAGCTGCCCAGTCAAGACCTACAAGACCAAGATGACTGGGAACAAGATGAAGGCATGGACTCTAGGCTGGAGGACAGCCCCTCAGTTCAAACAGGTGAAAGTTTATAAGACAAACTGTCAGAGAGAAAAAAAAAAAACCAACCAAAAACAAAGACCCACAATCACTTTAGTGTCTTTTGCTTCTTTCCTAGATTCTGAATCTCCAAGCCCTGAAGAGGTACCAGACTACCTTCTGTGAGTCCCCTGCCATTTCCAATGTCAAGTCTTGTGTAAACTATATCCTATCACTCTCCTTACATGAAAACATCTTGGAGACTTGAGGCTCTTGGAAAGAGTGAGATTGAAGGTAATTCTTTGCCCCAGCAGGCAATACAGGGCCATCCATAATGCAGAGCAGCAACATGCCTATGAGCAGGACTTCGAGACAGATTATGCTGAATACCGTATCCTACATGCCCGTGTTGGTGCTGCAAGCCAAAGGTTCATAGAATTGGGAGCAGAGATCAAGAGAGTTGAGCGAGGAAGCCCCGAACATAAGGTAAGGAACAGACCATAATGGCTTTACAAGTCTATTGGTCTTCCTTGCTGTTGCCCCAAATTCTTTTGAACCATGTACAATGGAGCTGGATTGTTTTCTGTTCAGAAGTATTTCCAGATTTTTCTTCCTAGTCTGTTTTATTCCAGCATCATAGCAACATATAAACCTCCACTGACAGATGGGCAATGTCTATGTGAGGTTCTCTAACTGGGAATTGAACCTAGGTCCCCCTCCCCCACCCTTGGAATTGGAGAATTCTGTCCCCCAACCACCAGTCCCTTCCCTGTTGGTCATTAACTGCTCACAAGAGAGTAGCCCTGGTTAATTATCAGAATGAAAGGTTAGTAATTCAACCCATCAGCTGCTTTGTAAGGATGGGCAATTTGCTCCCATATTTATTATCAGAAACTCCAATGGCAGCTCTGCTGTCCTGTAGAATATGTGTGAATTACAATCAGCTAGACAGCAGTGGGTAACTGTAATTGTTCTCTCAGTTAAGCAAAGTGACAACCAAAGAGATTCAAGAGAAAAATTTGTCATATAGTAGAGACTAAGCAGGGGTGGTTACTTCTCTTTAGTGAAATGAAGCTTATTTCCTCAGTATTTAAACTCAGTCCTACCATTTTCTTCATTTCAGATGCTGGAAGATAAAATAGTCAAGGAATATAAAAAGTTCAGGAAGGTAAGATGAGATCTGGGGCTAGTAGTAAGAAGGCAGAGATGAAGACTTATTGACATGGATTTTTCTTCTCTGCAGCGGTACCCAGGTTATAGGGAAGAAAAACGTCGCTGCGAATACCTCCATCAGAAACTGTCCCACATTAAAGGTCTCATCCTGGAGTTTGAGGAAAAGAACAGAGGAAGCTAAAGCTGTCAAAGGGCTCTTGATCTTCTGGGTAGTGATAGAAGGAAATGATGCAGCCACAAACTAAGTAGTACGCAACTGTCTGCTTTCTTATTGTTAACCACTTGAGTCCGTGGTGGCAAGTAAGAGAGCTACTCTAGGTTGAGGTTTGATTTTCATTGCTGCTGTATTTCAATCCCTAAAGGTTAAGCATAGTGCTGAGACTCCACAGCTGTGTCCAGAAGTTGTAGAGGATTAGCTTCTTTAACATTAGGTAAGATCAGTGTCACATCCTGAGAAATGACGCTACTTCCAGGACAAGGTACCTTGAGGATTTTAGACAATCTAGCTTGTAGACTCCCTAAGCAAGCAATGACAACTGTTAACAAGCTAAAAGAAACATACATGGATGTAATGGGCACTGTTACTAGAGGGAATGAGTTTGAATGTTATCCATGTACTCAAAGTAAATTTTTTACTCATGATTGAAAAACTAAAACTGACTGCTTCTGTATCCTTTGTTTATATGGTCTTGTTAAACTTTCCTAGGCAGGGGCTTTTTATGGTTGGTGGGTGTACACTGGAACCATTTAGGCCTCTCTAGAGGCCTAATCTGTGTTTCATTGATTATGCAAAGGTGTTTGACTCTGTGGATCATAACAAACTGTGGCTGACTCTGAGAATGGGAATCCCAGAACATTTAATCATGCTAATGCGAAACCTATACTTGGACCAAGAGGCAGTCATTAGAACAGAGCAAGGTAATACCGCACGGTTCAAAACTGGGAAGGGTGTGCGCCAGGGATGCGTCCTATCTCCATACCTTTTCAACCTATATGCAGAGCATATTCGAGAGGCCAAGCTCTATGAGAAGTGTGACATCAGGATTGGGGGAAGATCTATTAACAATCTGGGTTATACAGATGACACAACCCTGCTCACTGAAACTGAGGAGGACCTCATGCACTTGCTGCAGAGGGTCAAGGACTGCAGCCTTCAGTATGGATTGAGGCTCAATGTCAAGAAGACAAAGATTCTCACCACTGGACCAACTGGTAGCATCAAGATGGATGGTGAAGAGATTGAGATTGTTCACAGCTTCAGTTTGCTTGGCTCCACTTGGCACCAGCAGCCAGGAAATAAAAAAACGTGTTGCAATGGGAAAGTCTGTTAGGGACCTCTCTAAAGTACTCAAGAGCAAGGGTGCGTCTCTGGAGACTAAGGCGCACCTGATACAGGCCATGGTCTTTGCAATCACTTGTTATGCATCAGAGAGTTGGACAATGACTAGGGAAGATAGAGGGACAGCACAGGAGGGGAAGACCCTCTATGAGGTGGATTGATTCAGTGACTGGGGTAATCGGGATGGTGTGTCAGAGGCCATGTGATTTGCACAGGATAGAGCACAGTTTAGGGCTGTTGTACACAGGGTCGCTATGAGTCGCAAATGACTCGACGGCACATAACAACAGAGGCCTAAACCCCAGCTCAGGTTTTAGGAAGAACTCTCAAGATTATGGTATAGGCATTTTTACAAAGCACTAGGAATAATCTTAATATCTATTTTGCTATAAAGACTCTACCAAATCTATTTTAGACTTGACAGCTAATAATTAATCCTCATTTTCTAAACACAGGTGTTTGAAGGATCAGTAAAATTAGGGTCCCAATTAGAATTCGGGAGCTCTGGTGGCCTAATGGTAAGGAATTATGCTGTCAATACAGAGGTACCTGGTTTGAATCCACCAGGTGCTCTATGGGAGACATATGGGCAATCTCCTTTTGTGTGATATATAGCCTGTGAAAACTTGGTGGAGGATCAGCTTATGGGTCAGTTCCTACTCGATGATAAACAAATTGGAATTACCTAGTAACTGAAAATTATAACGATTTGGCTTTATCCACAAAAAGATAAATGGTTTAATTAATTTGAAAAAAAGGGGATCACTCCATCCTTTTCATTGCTGTAGAAGTAGATGTTTCTCAGCTCCACCAGAGGGGACATTAATGGCACAAACCTAAGCTTTAAGGGATGACAAACAGCTTGGAACCCTCACCTGGTATCACATCTAATGCAGTGCAATCCTAGGCAGACAAGAGCCCTTCAGAGATATAAACATGAAATAAGCTCAGCTGCATGACAAGGATAGCAGCAATTTACCCTTAAGGTACGAACAGGGTCACAAAAAACCAATAGCAAAGGTCCCTCACCTAGTCTAGACTAAGGACTGAGTAATAAATATATAAGGACAAAGGTGAGAAAGTTGGATTCACAAAGGACAGCTTTGAATTTGGTTATTTTTTCTAGAGTTTCACTCACCAGTAACAGCTGCTAGCTTTACCTGTGGTTATTTTAATATAAATAAAAGTTAAATGTCGTTTCTAGCCACATTTCAAATGCTCAACAGATGGGTGTTATGGACAGTAGACACACAAAAATCTATTAGGTCTAGAGAACATCCAGTTCTCTATCTGGTGGAAAAAGACAGTTTAAAGGGGGCTCATTTATTGTTACTGTTCCAAATGTACAAAAAAAAATTAGAAAATAACCCCCCACTCAGCCCCTCCCACTCCCATATTTCCCCCAACACAAATAATTTCCCCCAAAACCACAAACATAAACTGGTCCTGGTGTTTCCATAAACAGTGCAGCTAAGAAAAAGCTTAGAGAAAATTTAACAGGATTCAGATTATAGTCATTCTGTCCTCTCAGAATAATCTTATGTGGGTCCCAGTCCTCCCCAACGGTGTTCCCATCTCTGGTGGAAGAGTCCTTTTACAAAGTAGAATGTTTGGCTGCTGCTGCTTTAGAGGTCTTCCTGTGCCTTCTTCTTTTTCTTAGGTTTTTCTTCTTGAATTACAGGGGGATTTGTAGCCTCTCGCTGTAGGTAGCTAATAAAATCATTTAATTCACGGCCACCCTGAAAACAGAAAAATTTTTATAGATTTAACTTCTTTTAAAGAATTCTAGACTTTCCCAATAGTAAGACTTCTGAGTTTATGAAAGCCCTAGTAGCCATATGTATTTATCATGAGTTGACACGACTTTAAATAAAGTCAGCTAAAGAAATGGGTATGTATTAAGTGATTATGTGTTTACCTATGGGGAGATGGAAAATGTACTTACTTCATATTTCTTTGGATTTAGCTTCTTGTTGGCTGGAGAAAAGTAGATGGTAGGGAAACTGAAGAAAAAAAAGCATATTAAATTCAATTTCTTTTTTTTTTCCTTTTTATTTTATTATTTGTGTGTGTGCGTGTACCGTCAAATCAGATCTGACTGGTACAGGAGGAGATTGTCCCTCCTTCCTCGGCAGAGCATCTGGTGGACTCGAACTGTGTGCCTCTGGGATTGCAGTGCAGCTTCCTGCCACTAGGCCACCAGAGCTCCCCTAAATTCAATTTCTAAAGTAATTCTGACAGATACCATTCTTATAGGACTTCTGGGAGTAACTTCTGTTCAAGGTTTCTAATCTAACCAATACATTTCTATCAATGGGTTCAGTTACATCCTATAGAAACCCAGGAATTTGAAAGCTCCCCAAATCTGCGGTAGTCATGTGGACCCACGATTTATAGAAGGCATAACTGCAATGTAAAAGAAGTCTAAAACCAGTAAAGAATTGCTTTCCTGGTAGTTTATAAGTGTAAAGAGTTTATTGTTCAAAATGGCTTCTCTAGCCACTAACTTTGACTTTGCCACATGTATGGGCAGGATCATTTAAATAAGGTGGGTTAAGTCTATCCATAAGAGGACTGACTAGTCCCACCATTAGAGTGAGTGGATTCAGCAGCAGAAAACAGAATCTTAACACCAAGATGGAAGTACATGTCCTTTGTGGTCTGAGACCCCTACACTAGCCAGATCCTGATCTACTACCTAAGAGCAACAGCAGCCTCAGCCAAGAACCAGAGATCGACATGAAGCAGATCTGACTTGAGGCTTCTGCCCAAGAACCAGAGGCTTTTAAGCAAGGTTACTTTAAAACTGAGGGAAGACAATAACTGGCGTTTAAGGGAACTTTTTAACAGTGACCAAAGCCATGAAACTGAAGGTAAAAGGGACTGTAACCATGCTTGACAAGAAGTCTGGACTATTAACTTTGGTAATACGTCCGGTAACAGTGAGTATGGGTCTATGAAGACATTGCAATGGATTTCGGAGCCAGTAGAGCAGTAAGATTGGTTCTGGAATTAATAGAAGTAGGTGCAGGAGTATGGGAGACCATGTCTAACGATATAGGAATTAGTTTTGTATTATGGATGTTGATGATGAAGACAGTTCCCCTTTGTGGAGTAATAAGTTAGACTCTGCTGTCTCCACATTATTCTTGCTCTTTTTACAAGTTTATTTTTCCAACCCAATACACCTTCCAGGAAATTAAAAGGTGCATTGTGATGGGAAAGTCTGCTGTTAGGGACCTCTCCAAAGTACTGAAGAGCAATGGTGTCTCTCTGGAGACTAAGGTGCGCCTGATACGGGCCCTGGTCTTTGCAATCACTTGTTATGCATCAGAGAGTTGGACAATGACTAAGGAGGACAGGAGAATTGATGCCTTTGAGCTGTGGTGCTGGAGAAGAGTATTGAGGGTATCATGGACTGCTAGGAAAACAAACAGATTAATCCTGGAAAGGGTTAAACAGGGTGGCTCTTTGGAGGCAAGGATTCTGAGGCTCTAACATACACTGGACATGTTGTAAGAAGAGACCGGTCCTTGGAGAAGGACATCATGCTGGGGAGGGTGGAGGGACAGCACAGGACGGGAAGGCCCTCTAGAGGATGAGGTGGATTGATTCGGTGACTGGGGTAGGCAGGATGGGAGTGTCAGAGACAGTGCGAAAGGCATAAGACAGAGTAGAGTTTAGGGCTGTTGTACATAGGGTCGCTATGAGTCGCAAGCGACTCGACGGCACATAACAAGTGCCAAGACCTTAATAGGTTTTTTATTATTTTTATTTTATTAATTTTAATGAACGTTTGCAGAGATTTTGGATTTCCATTCATTCATTGTTGCATTTTTCTCCCTGTCCACCCCTCCCCCCAGTTATCTTTTCTTGGAAAATAAAAATTCCTTCATTGGTATAAAATTTTACATTGGTTGGTTTGTGTGCAAAGTTCATTCACATTGTATTTCACACTGTCCATTATTCATACTGTATTTCATACAATCATTCTCATTATGCTTTATAATAGGACACCCCAGATCTTTAATCTGCTTACCCTCTGACTTCATATGGAGAAGGCACGTCATTGGCTGTAGCATCCATCTTGGCTATGACAATATTTGGATCTTTGCTAAGCTGTTAAGAAAACAGATCTTCAAATGTTAAAAGTTTTCACTGACTAAGGAACACTTATGTATTTTTACATAAAACATTTTACCAAAGTTCAGAAACACATACTTAAAGACTAAACATAAAATGTATATACAATCCAGACTGATTTATGCTTCTAATTTGATATTCACACTAATGTTCAAACTTACCTTCTCTCCAAGTTCTTTATACTTAGGTTCCAGATTTTTACAATGTCCACACCAAGGGGCATAAAATTCAATCAGCACATCTTTATTTTCATTGTTCACTATTTCATCAAAATTTTCTGCTACCACTACCTGGAAAACATAGGTTTTCTAGTTGGTAAAGCATCTTGAAGAATATATACATAAAAGTTTTATATTTCTGGACCCAAACCCTCACAAATATGTGCTGTTGAATATATCATGGAAACAGAGTCAGATTTAAAGACAACTTAAAATGTTGTCATTCCCCAGAAATCAATTCCCTTTATCTGTCAAATTCTGTTTAGGATGTCACAGGAAATTCAAATGTAACCTAAAACTTCTCTCTCAACAATGATTTTTTTTTAACCGCTATTCCAAAGGGGAATTCATATCTAATACAAATAGCATCAGATCATTATGAGGTCTGCCAGTTGGGTTTTTGGTTTATTTGTTGTTTTTTTTTTTTTAAATTATTTTAATGAGCATTTACAGAGATTCTGGATTTCCATTCATTCACTGCGACACTTCTCTCCCCGCCCCCCCCAGTTCGCTCCTCTTTCAAAAGTAAAAGAAACACTCCTTCCCAGGTACACAATCCGCACCCCCTCCACTCCCCCCCCGCCCCAAGTACACTCCACTATGCAACCTTAATCGTGGACTCTTGTGATAACCATAAGACCCTATCATACATCACTTTTAAATTATTCACTCCCTCATCTGTTTCAGTGCAGTATACACAATTTAGCCAGTTTTTCTCAGTCTTCTCCCAATCCTGATATCAGTCCCATTTTACAACAGTGGCACCATGCAATATTTGTCCTTTTGCATCTGAGATATTTCACTCAGCATAATGTCCTCCAGGCTC